ACGCAGAGTTCTGCCAGGGTTCTTCACGTAGAAATTGATTTGCTTACGCATTTGACTTATGTATTCATTTCACGAAGCTCTTAAGTCTAAACGACATTATTATCATCTTTAATATTCTGCCTACTCCTCATTACAATATTTACTCGAACTTCGAAGTCCATTTACTGAAACAATGCTAGCTAGGCTCATCTCCTTTTGCCACCGTATCCCCTTTTGCATGTTTCTCCACTATTCATACTTTTGCAACTCCCTTGTTAATCAGATACATCTCCCTCTCATTGTCGTTTATCACATGGAAGTTGGTTAATAAACGCATCCACTTTGATGGATCTTCCCTGTTTTGTGTCGTCGCAAAAATTTCCCTGTTTGTAGTCCGATCTTGCTAAACGATAGGGCGTGGTTGTTAACTTGCTAACTCTTAAGTTTGGACCCGATTTTGATATTTTTGCAGACTCAGATTGAATTACTTAAAGGAAAGGCCTCCATCGTATTCCATTTATTTGGCATTAAGATATACACCTGTATGCCATTTTTGTTATGTAGCTCTGGGAGCTGTATCATGACCGTCGTCTAATTCGTTCCTACATGGGGCACCGACAGGCTGTGCGCGACGTGACCTTCAACACTGCGGGAACACAATTCCTCTCTGCTTCCTATGACCGTTTTATCAAATTGTGGGATACGGAGTCGGGAAAGTGCACGGGCCAGTTCAATCTGAAAAAAGTGGCTTACTGTGTCAAATTTAATCCTGATGAGGACAAGCAACATCTTTTCTTGGCTGGATGCGCTGATAAGAAGATCCTTTGTGTGAGTTTTCCAAAGTTATTGGCAGAAATAGCATTGAAATCACTCACATTCTGAAGTCCTCTTGATGAGTCGTCGAATATTCCTCTCTTCGTTCATGTCAGTATGATGTGCGCAGCGGTGAGGTGGTGCAACAGTACGACCGTCACTTGGGTGCAGTCAACACAGTGACGTTTGTTGACAACAACCGGCGCTTTGTCTCCACCTCTGATGACAAGTCGTTGCGCGTGTGGGAATGGGACATTCCTGTGGATTTTAAGTACCTCGCTGATCCCTCCCTCCACTCCATGCCTGCGGTCACTCTCTCGCCCAACGGTAAATTGCCTTTCTGTGTGTGTGAGTCTGAATGTAGGTTGAGAAACTGGCAATACAACCGGAGTGCACCAGACCTGATGGTTATGTAATGGCACTCGGGTATCGAAGAGAAAGGTTCATAGGTTCG